AATGTACGTACATTTCATTTCAACATATGTAAGCAAAAGGCAGATGTAAATATACTTTAGTAGACATTTTGTACAACAACGTATTAAATACTTATCAAAGCTTTTAAAAATGTATAACAATAGGTCATGGAATAACATTATAAATTTATCTACTGATAGTAGTAAGAATGGTAAAGTTTAGCCTTAACTAAACTAAAACAAAAAACCTACACAAGTTACAGTGTTAATTTATCTCTTTAACAAATATAATGTTAGGCCTAAAACAAGTGAACTTGTTGATTTTGATGTCTACAATTAGAATTCTTATGTATTATTCTAGAAATCCTGTATTTAATGAAGTACTGTTGCAATAAAGATACTAATTCAACCACAAATATCTTGCGGGTCTCTGCTAGTTTAAAGTAATTATATCTTACAAAATACTTTTCCTAGGAGAAATTCAATGTAAAAAATAACAGACTTTACAACAAATTTTTCCAAATTGAGTACGTGAAGAATTATGTCTCAGAAACTACAAGAAGTTATCAAACAGCTTTCCTCATAAATACAAGAAATACAGACATACTGATAATAAGTACCAAATTAGTAGAGTAATTAATAAAATTAATTCTGGAATATTATGAAAAAAAAATCTGATTTTTTTACTAATAGTGTGCTACATATTCATTCTGTTGCTTCTGTACCTAAAGTACAGGCTTAAATTTCTATATCTTATTAGACTCAGAATTTGACAATCCAGTATGAAAGATATAGCAAGACCATCAGTGGAGAGAAGTTTGGTAATTAAATTCAAAACTCACAATGCACTTTTGAATAAATTTGACAATCTTTTCCTTGTCTATCTCACCCCAGTCTTGTAGAATATAACAAATACAGGCTGCACAGTAGATAAACCTCATGTCTTTTTCTGCTCCATCGATTAACGGGCAGAAGCTGACATGGAAACAAAAAATGTATAAAGCGCATGTAATTTGGAAATTTCCACATACTTTTCTTCAACCTTTATAATTATAAACATAACTTCATTAAAAGGTTACACTCATTTCAGTTAATTTTACCAAATTTCCATCAGTTAAGAAAACATAAAAGTAATGGTCAAACTATAGATTAAATTCAACGTATAGATATTTTTCCAAATTATTTTTAAAAAAAATCTCTGTTTTCAAATTAAAATGTTTGCTTAAAACGTTGGTCATTAAAAGCTGGATGAAAGAAAAAAATGCTTATGCTTAAACTAGGGTATCATTTCTACAATATTTTTTTCTTCTAGAAACATAAGTTAAAGATCTTGATAATTCTAATATAGACAGAATGTTAAAAATGGTAACAATCCACCCACTCCAAAACAAATCCTACTCAGGAATACAAATATCATCACATTTAAACAAGTGATTCACAGTACTCTCACCTTCCATCAGGCTGTTGTAAGGCTTCTACACCTTGAATAATTGCTTTTTTGTCAACTCTGCTTAAATCATCCCCCAGCACTAAGAGGGTAGAAAGAGCTGAGTAAGTCATAGCAATGTGTCCACTATCATATGGATGGGCATTCTCTGGCTGGTTCAAATAAGAAATATTCTTTTTAACATGCTAAATATATTCGTATATATAAAGTAACAAAATGTTAAGTTGGACTTGCACTACATATTAAATATTTCTATTCTAAACAGATCAAATATTGCACCATGTTTCATTAGAAGCAATGTTCTATATCATTATCATTGAAATATATTATCAAGCATACTTTTATTAAAAATAGCACCAGATCTCTGTAATAACAGTCAAGTATTCTATTGTGTTGTACAAAATATTGTGCTTCTTCAATAACAGTATTCTTATGCCTTTATGAAACAAAAGTACCAAATCTTCACATTAACAGAAGTGTTTATTTTCTTAAAAATTCCTGTCATACCTTTTTACTTCTAGTTGTTTTATTTTATTGCATAAAATAGCAATAGATGTCCTTTTTAACAGTCTGACAATGCTGTATTTAACATAGAATACTTCCTTTTGATAAGAAGACCTCATACTGTATTTCAACCTCAGACAACAATTAATAGTCTCCTATTTTTCTGAAGAAACCAGTGTACAATGAATAAAAACTGTCTACAATGTCATGTACTTAGGATAAAGAAACTCGGAAAGGTCATTCTAATTAAGTGGTATTGTGTAGAGGGATATTGATTTGGTTACAGTGACTGAAAGAAATAAAAAAACATGGCAATGATAAAAGCTAACCTCAATTTTCAGACTAATTTACTGAAACTACGGTTTAAAAAGAAAATTACTGTATGTTTAGATACTACTTTGGTTAATCCTGATATAAAGACCTCCTAGCACCAAAATGGGAATTATTCTACTGGAAAAACTTGCAAGAAAGAAATACAAAAACAACATCTGGTTTAAAAAATATGAGCTATGAACAAGAAAGGCTTGAACTGGTGGCCTTGCTTTTAGTGAAGCCCAAAAAAAAACAAGAGTGGTGACTTGATTTGAGCATTCTTAATTGTTAGGCCATATATAGGCTGCCAGTGAAAAACATTTTATGAATTAAGGACTGAAAATATTAGTTATAATGACTAGAATATTAGAAGTAATAAGTACAAGCTTTGATAACGTACATCATAGCTTGTTTTTAAGTTGAACTTGCTAACAGTTTACATTACATTTTTGGTCAGGTATCAAGATGAAGATTAACTATAAATCTGTAGAATGATGGTTTTGAAAATAATGTGTTGTGTAAATGAGCTGAATCTATCATCTTTTCTTCTCATTTGGTTGGAGATCCTTAATTTTTTAGGAAAAAAATTTATTTAAACATTTTCTCCAACCACCTTGCTTTTTTCTCAAAACTACTGATACATATAATTATCCCAATTCTTTCATAAGAAATATACTAATTAAAATATTGATGGCTTAACAAAATGCAAATCCTAATTAAAGCATGACTTACAAAGATATAAATATGGCTAAATTCTTTAGCTTTTTTTGAGTAGCCAGATTATTGTTTTCAATATTTTAAATGTTATTTTAAAAAACTGTACATAGAGTCTGAAATAATTCTAAATAAAAACAGTCAATTTTAACCAACATACAATGAAAACAACTTGTGAACTTTAAATAAAGGTTTTACCTTTCCCATACTGGGTGGAGCACCAACTGCAGAAGAACCTCTGAAACCACAACGACTCCTGTTAGATTCTGAAAAAAATATGTAAAGCAAAAACTTTTAACTTAAAACACTATCTCACAGGTAAATATTAAGTATTGTAGATTTTCTTAATGAATTCTCATTCTCCATATATGAAAATATTTAACGAACATGGCTGATACTGTGGCCAGGGTTATAGACGTGTGTACACATCAAGCCACAGACAATCAATCAGTCTGGGTTCATAGGACGTGCCCAATGGTGAAAAAGATGGATGGTAGCCTGGAATCTGGTCAGTTTTGGCCTAAAGCAATAGTATTCATCATATAATCAGTGTACACTACTACTGAAGTATCAGCATTAAGTAGATTTATTAAAACTGTCAATAATGGATTTTGATATATAGTCTAACTAAATTACGAAAAGTTTTCTAACAGTACACCAAATTGACAAAAAGTAGCTGAGGTACAAAACATGCATAACATGGACTTTTACATTTAGTGTTCACAGATGTCATATAACAAAGCAACACTACCTTTAGCAGTACTATATTGTACATGAAAACATTAATTCTTTATTATTATTATATTGCAAATTGACATGATGAACTAAATTGAAAATCACAATTGAAAAAATGGATAGGACTGAAATACATCTGAAGAAAAAGAGTTTTATAGAAAAATGCACTTGGACAAGTACACCACCTATCAAAAAACTGGTGATATCAAACTCGCATGCACCAAAAGTGGACATAGATCTATGGTGGATGCATCAAGTATTTATCAAGATTAGGTGGCCACAAGAGGTAAGAGTCATGATTTCATACACCATGTCAAAGATAATTGTTATAATAGGCACACATGTAAAATGTGAATGGAGAAACTATATCATTTCCACAAAATTGAGGTGCTGAGAAGATTGAAGGTGAAAGTACAGAGACAGAAACCATGTTATCAAACTGCTCTTGTTCTCATTAAGAACATCCAAGCAAGTTGATACACTCAAGATGATTTAAATGTGCCACATGTATGCATGTCAACAGCAGAAATGTGTATTGCAAATAACATATTTCTGAAAATAGGAAAGCAAAAAACTTTTTAGGAACCACTTGTTTCCTAAATGTTAGAAGGTTCGACTCAAACTATTGGTTTACAGGATCCCATAAAAAAGCGTGCTTAACGAGGACATAAAATACTTCCATGCTGCATGTGTCAGAACAAACAAGTCAAGGTTCAAAAATCCCTGAGAAAAACTGAAAACAAACTAATTCAGCACAACCATTAACATAAAATTATATTTCCAACAATAAATGAAATGAAACCCTCTATGCATGTTCTTGCAGAGTTCACTTTATTTGAACTTGGACGTCTTGAAAAAACCACAGCTTCGTGTGTCTGTAATCAAGTCTACCATCTCAAAAGATTTAGCATCATCATAAAGCAATATAAATAAAACACATTTGAAAGAGCTATACAATACTTGCTTAGATCAACTACTACATTGAGGAACTTGTATGTGGAACTCTACACATCTGCTACCAGAATATCAACCACAACCTTGAAGAGGGGGTCAGAAAAGTCTGGAACCATAGGTGATTTGCAGCTTTTCTTAATTTCAGGTACGTGACTGATTATGGTGCTGTCAAAGCATGATAAGGTCGAGTTATTCCAAATTGGTTTTGAATTACAAGGACAGCATGTTGAACACATTTTGAAAAATTTGTTGAAGTGCCCATGGTTCCAGACTTTTCGAACACCCTCTACTTATGGAAACTGTCCTTTCTGTTGAGAGTACGATTTCCTTGTGTGATGAAAGTAACAAAGCATGAAAACACCATATTATGCAAATAAACATAGTGAAACAAACATTGAATCATGAGTAGAACACAATCAATTAGTCAGCACATCATAATTATACAACCTATTAAAACTATCTTGATACCTTAGGCAGCATATGACATATTTGCATACCTTATCATTCAATATATATTCAATGCAATAGCACCCACTTTTAAATTATCTTCAACTATTTGGCTAGGGAGAAGAGAGAGCTAGAGTGTTGGTTGCTGATTTCAGTTTATTCTACTATCAAATGCCATGTCTTTATTAATTGATGTATAATACTGCTGGTACATCATAAGTGATAGGGTATCAGAATATCACTCATGATATTTAGTGCTCTTGGGCCATGCCCTACATACTTGACCCACATAATTTCCTGAGACCTGTGTTTAACTCCAGTTGCTGCGTTAAGTTTCTAGAACCAACTTTTCCAGCTAGAAGCAAGGAAGTATGTATATGTGTATGTCCAAAAATAGATAAAAACAAAGGTTGAAAAATGTTACTAACTGCAAAGAATATAAGTAGTAACTAAAAAATACAATACTGATTTAAAGATAAAAAATAAATACTTTTTAAAACAAAAGCAGAGCAAACAAGTCATATACAATGCCTGTGATTACTTCCCACTCATTAAATTATTAAATCTATACACATGCAGAATGTATATTTTCTACATTTCATCAGACTAGACACCAAGATATTTCATATCACCCACAATAAGTAATACAATGTACTGATTCAACATGTGTTTTATAATATGTGGAAAAACATATTTTAAAATGTTTGTTTCTTTCATTGTTAAGCACAAAGCTACAAAATGGGCTATCTGTGCTGTGCCCACCATGAGTATCAACGCCATGCGAATTCTCAAACATACCACTGAGGGGCCTGAAAAAGATAATGTATACAGTATATCCACAAAAGTTAAATAAAATTAGCATATGCTGTTACCTTGTGAAATTAGTACAAAGGCAGAATTTTTAAATGTCAGCTTGCCTTAAAAAAAAACACACGTGTACCAGCTTCATTAGACTCCAAGCCGCTATAAAGTCAAGCTCACTTCCTCCTCGCTTTCAATTTCTTCACTGCTTTCTCCCGGTGCTTTGGTGACAATTAGCTATAGTTTTTACCCACCTTTTAATCTTAAAATGTGTGACAGTTCATCTCAAGGACATAAATTGAATCAATTGAGTTCAATCTTTAATCCATGGGTAGGGTCTGAAGAGAAACAATAGTTTCTGATCATCCTAGGTTGTCTCCCAAGCCCCTTTGGGGCATGTGAGATTTAAAACCTAAATTATTGCTATGTTAGCTTAAAAAACATACCTATTTTGTCAGGTAACACTTGATAAGAATAAATCCACTCAATAATCTTTTCCTTTTCATCCTTAATAGCATCGATAGCATCCAACAAGTCCAAACCAGAGATAGCAAAGAAAGCAACTGTAAGCCTAATGTAAAATAAAAATTTTATACAATATTACATACCCATTAAACTGCATTATATTAGCTTTCATTACTGGTTATTTGTGGCTGATGAAAGATATTTCAATTATATGAATATAACACCAGAGAACTTTTACTTATGGCAAACTCATATAAAATGGCTGGACAGTTACAGTAAATTTGATATTGAAAAAACTAATCAATTTTGGCTTCACTGTACTGTACATTCAATTTTTCATGATAAAATCAAATTTTTTTAATGACATAACCATGCCAGGAATTTTGTTAATATTTTCAATCATTCACCACAAAATGTCCTCAATAGCTAAGTAGCCTTTACCAGTAACTTCTAGTTGTGGTAGAGCACTATCATAATGTACCATGTGAACAAATAAATTATCTGACTTATAAAATATCCCTCATATGTAAAACATCCATTCTCTCTTTCATTATATTTCTGCTTTTTCATTTAATTTATAATCATAATACATTAGACAACATAATTTTTTGTGAAAATCTGTTTAACAATAACAGACACAAAATCTGTCTACTTTTGGCCCAACATGATATTGACCAATTTTATATATATATATATTAAAAATGTAAAGATTTTAGCAGCACTGACTTCGTAACTAATTTATTTGTTATCACTCACTGAATATGAAAAAAACAATCTAAAACCATGTTACAAGTATTAGACCAAGTAAAAAAATACATGTTTAACATCCCTGCCCACTTCCTTTTTGAAGCTGGTTTTCACCCCACTTTTCTTGGCAATTTTTTCCTTTTTTTGAATTTTCATTTTTCTATCATACAAAAAAAAAAGACTTCTGAATAAAAAAAATGAGATGAACACAATTAATTCATTTTGCCCTTTTTCTTTATTTGTCATAAATTCTGTATTGTTTTGAGGAAAAAATTAAACAAAGACTTCTATTTGATAGCGACCCTTTGAAAACAGGGGTCAATCATGAAAAAAAGGGTTCAAACTTTTTTCAAGGAGGTCATTAAAAAAAAGGGCCTCCTCCTTCCTTTTTTCAACAACTCTGGATGCTAAACGTTTTTTTTTTTGGCCTTATCAAGCACACTTATAAGTTTGTATGCACATGTGAACATTAAAATGGTGTGAAATTCAAATCTTTTTTTATTTTTAAGGGAACCTTATTATGGAATAAAGGAACATGGCTAAAGTGTCAGAAAAAAGTTTTAGTGAAGGTGAGGTATAAATTCCCATGCTACCCAATGTTTTAACAGTAGAGATGACTTTTCCTTAAAATCTATACACAAGAATAAGGACTCTGGTCCTGACAAAATTGATCCTATGATCTTGTAGAAACTTTACAAAAAGATAGTAGGGAACTTTGTCATTTTTCAGAAGTTTATACTGGGAAAGTTCCTAATGACTGAACAATTGACAGTGATCCCCATTACTAAAAAGGGAGTAGGAAAGATCTATCAAACTATACATCTACCAATTTGAATTCTCTTGTTCACAAGGTGTTAAAATTATTGTCAGGAGTAACTTAGAAAAGCATTTGCAAAACTGGCATTTAATTATTCTCAAAACAATTTCAGAAAGGATTTTTCTTCGTTTTGTTTTTACAATTTGTTAGTTTTTTGATAAGTGATATTGATTTGAAATTTTTATGGATTTTTCAGTTACATATATTTATGTAACATACCTTAAATTGTTGGAAAATTCCCATGAATATTTTACATTCAAATTAATACATCATTCTTAATGCAAATCCATAAAGTTTGATTTGAATTTCACACAAAGCTACATGAGGGCTATCTATGCTAGCCATCCCTAATTTAGCTGTGATAGACTAGAGGGAAAGCAGCTAGTCAACATCACCCACCACCAACTCATGGGCTACTCTTTTATTGACAAATAGTAGGACTGACCATCTCATTAAAACATCCCCACAGCTGAAAGGGCAAACATGTTAGGTGATGGGGTTTCAAAGCCATGCACCTCAGATTGTAGCAAATCCATAAAGAGTAAATGTTAATTCTTATTAACATGACCTATGGACACCAAAAGACCAATTGGTCCTTCAAGGCTGTTTTTGTACACCAACTCTTGGGAAGAGTACAAATTTTCAGGAAATCATCAATTCTCTTATAAAACTCCTGTACAGTGCTGGCCTCTACCACTACTAATTGAAAGACATTTCTTGAGTCAATGATGCTGTTAGAAAAATAAAACTCTTTTTTTTTTTTTTTAACTGGAGCCTACCTTGGCTTTTCCAGATCTTAAACTTTTGCTCTCACATCCTATTATCTTCACAGAATAGCAAAAATAAACCAGAGGCATTCATTCTATCAATCCCCCAGATAATCTTACCCTTCAAGAGAAAATAAGTTATGAAATCTTAGCCTATCCTTTTACGATAACCCTTCTACCCAATATCATCCTAGTAGCCCTCCTCTGAATCCTTTACAATAATTCAGTTTCAGTATTTCAAGTGAGATTTAACTAGTGACTTGTATAGAGACAATTACCTATTTATGTAAAATATACACACCCTAAAAATCTTCTAGTATTCCTCCTAGCAGTAAGAACAATACAACAATAGCTTTACCAACTTATCCACCACTATCTAAAATATTTTTTTCAGTCATACTATAGTTATCTCAAATCTCTATTAAACATGAGATCCAATTCATGACAACCCAAATCCATTACCTCATACTTACTATGATTATATATCATTAGCCAAATATTCTTCAAACTTACCAATTGATTCATGTCATTCTGCAAAACCTCACCATCCCCAACATAACTAGAAATATCTAAGTTTAATGTCATGAGCAAACACTATTAATTTAATAATTATGCCTCTATCAATATTATACTTCACTAGTAAAAGGGATCCAGTTTACCATTTTCCCACACAACTACCCTATAATCTAATTATCTAGCACTCTTTCCCCAACCCCTAATGATGTGATCTTCTTTTCTGTTTTTTTTTTCACAGTACCTTATCAAAAGCTTTTCCAAAATCTAAGTACACAAAATTCACAACCCGTTCCCTTGTCCAGAATGGTTTGTTTGTTTGTTATTAAGCACAAAGCTACACGATGGACTATCTCAATATCTATGCTGTGCCCAACATGTGTATCGAAACTCGATTCTTAGATTTATAAGCCCTCACATTTACTGCAGAGCCACTGAGGGTGAATAATGGAAATCATACAACTTGTTATATAGGATTTGTATTGTAATTTGTGGTCCTTTTCAGAACTAAGTTCTACACAAGTGACACTGACAGTAAAAAAGAATTTATTTGCATTTCAAAATATCATACTATATCAGTATATGAAAGAAATGCAGTAGGTAAAAACTTTAACTTTGACCTGAACTAAAGATAAGCAACAGAACTTAGAAGACAGAAAACATTTTACTGGAGTCGGTACCAAAAATCATCAGAATACTATTCTGAATAGTGATTACTCAAATCAGTGCTTAGTTATTACATATAATACTAAAGTAAAGGCTGTAGATCTATTGTGGTTACAAGTTACAGGCTAGCCAAACCAAAAATATCACTATCAGAGCGCCACAGTAAACGTTTCATGCATTTCTCATAACAAAATGAGTTATATTACAACGTGCCTGGTAACATCAAGCGAAGAAAACCTTTCCGGTAAAACCTGAAGACACCGCTTAAAATACCGGATACATTTATCTTTCAAAAAAATTACTTCATCATCATCATCTCTTCGTCCGTGCAACTCCACACACTCGGAAGCCGCCATTATTCAATACGGCTAGTATTTATTAATACCTCTACTGGAGTAATATCACAATATTAAAAAGAAAATTAATACTTGAGTAATTTATTAATTTCAGAATTATTTTTTTATTTTATAAAGCAATACAATAATCGTGTTTTTTTTTGTTATTTGTTTGTACTAAAATTGAAGTTTTCATTGAGTGCAATTGCCTCCGAGTAGAAGTGGTCACGTGAAAGACTTTCTGACGATGAAACTGACCTTTGCATCCAGTAGTCGCAACACAAAATCACACAACGTTATCTATTTTGAAAAAAAAAAGATAGAGAGAGAGATACGGGACATTCGGCAGGGGGGCTGTAAGCAGTGACAAAATTTTCCCCAAGTATGTGTTGATCAGAACAAGAAACGAGGTGATAATTAATGACCACAAAACCCCTGCACTAACAAATAGGTACCGGTTTATGCAGTTTTTTGTTTTTTTAGAACGACCTTCACAGCAAGGATGTACATATAAACTACAACGAATATCGAGAGGTCATCAGAATTATTTATGATATAGTCGTGTCAAGTCACAATGGATGCTGAGATAATCAGGTCATCCAAAGCTTACTATCACTGTCAAGTGATTAGGAAATATGTAGAACGTGCAAAAAAATAATTAACCACAAACTGTAAATCTCCGTAACGCTTTACAAATGATAAATTTCACCTCGTACAATATTATTATGGAAACTATCAAAAACTTCTTCAAGCATTTCAAGATTTTGCTGCAGCGTAAACAGAGTGAAACTGTCGAGTTTGTTGAGATGTCAGAGGTCGTTAATGGGATTGCATCTATATTTCATTCCTTAATCTTGAGTATTAATGACACTATGTCAACTGAAAAGTGGCTCAACATCGTCTCAGCAGAACCAACTGGTCAAGCGTTTTACTTCACATAAAGACATCATTTCCATCGTGTCTCTTCAAGAGCGTGGTGACTGCAAATTTAGCAACGAATATTAACCACCAGTCGAGACAATCAATTTCAATAAAGCAGAATTTATCCTTAAAGATGTTATCACATAGTTCGAACAAAACAGTCATTTATGTGAAGATGTTAGGTGATATGTTTTTTTTTGTTATTTTTTTTTACTTGAAACACTGAGAAGCTTTAAAAAATCAGTTCAAAAGGTAGACCGTAGTTAAATCCTTCATTGGAAAATGAATTGTTGAATATTTGACCACAACTATGAATTATGTATTGTGGAAGCTATTAGTTTGGACAAAATGATATTTTAATTGAAAATAATGAAATTCCATTTTGCTCATGCAATTTATATAGTTACTGGCGACGTACAGAATAAAAAAAATTAATAAATATATTACACATATATAGTTTCTTTTTCTTTACCAGTTGCATCCAACCCTTATATTTATCGATTGCTAAAGCATGCTATTGATCATGTCCATTGTATTCAAAATGACTGATTCAACTATTTGGTTACATCAATAATCTAGCCGAATAAACTCATTAAAAATGCGTTCGGATTAACGAGGTTTCATTCTATATACAAAAGAGAAACAAGTTCAAAACCATACAAAATGAAAATCTTTAAGCATAGATAGCAATAAATTTATGCCTCCTCAGGATAATAATTCGATCACTGTTCTGGGTGCTCCAAATTCCAGCATTTATCTTGCGGTAACAATGAAAAAGAAGTCATCGACCTTCGTAACATCCGTGAAAGTTAAGGTCTAGAAGAAAATTTTCTCTTAAACCAAACAATTCCTACTAACAGCCGTTTACCCTCAGTGACTAGCTCTTCATCTTGTTAGTAAGTCTTTCAAATTGTGAAAAATGCCTTTGCTTTGAGAACGAGGACTGTTGAAACTTAATAATATAATAGTTCAGTTTCATTTGTTCGAAATTAAGCACAAGGCAACACAATGGGATATCTGTGCTATGCCCACCACGGGTATCGAAACTCGGATTCCAGCGTTGTAAGTCCGCAGACATACCACTGTGCCATTAGGGGGGGTAAGAATTTAGAAGAGTGCAGAGAAATTAAGACATTAGGAAAAAACAGAAAACTCTGCAATAAAAATATTGTGGACACAGCATCAAAGGTTTCCTTCTTGCTAACTCTATATTCGCAAATAAAACTGATTTTTCTCAAGAGCGCCAAGATAGATCCTGTAGAATAACAGAATGTTTGATCAGAAAAATTATTGCAAAATAACCCGAAATTCTCCGAGCCTGACTGAATTTGTAAATGAAAGATACTGAACACAATGTAAAATATATAGTAAAAGCAATCTTTATTTAATACTGAAAATAGCTGAATCAAAGTTAAATAAGTACACTAAACGAAAGACAGCACCCTCATTAATCCTTCAATGATTCTTTCTTAGCATAATTTTTATGCAACACCTTATTTCCTGCATGACAATGGGTGTTTGCCCAAAACGTTGTGGAAATTAAAACATAATTTAGTTTTTACTTATACATATTAATTTATCTTTTATTACATTTTATCCAAACAACTTCACTAGATATAGCTAACTCTGTAAACTCTCCTAAGAATTTATAAAGAGGCTTATTGAGAACTAGTTAATTTATTAATAATGGCTGGCGACGGCTTAAATGGGTAATGAAGAAAAACTTTAATATAAGTTTAACATGACAGTAAATGTACAAC